TTTTCCTCGGTCACAGGTGAGATGGAGGAGCTGGAGGCTCAGTGGCTGACCGGCATCTGTCACAATGAGAAGAACGAGGTGATGTCCAGCCAGCTGGACGTGGACAACATGGCGGGGGTCTTTTACATGCTGGCCACGGCCATGGGCCTCTCCATCCTCACCTTCATCTCCGAGCACCTGTTCTACTGGAGGCTGAGATACTGCTTCACCGGAGTCTGCTCCGGACGACCGGGGATGTTGTTCACCATCAGCAGGGTGAGCCTCAGGTTGAGCACTGTTCATGTCACACGGCAGTTCAGGAGAGGGGCATGGGCAGGGGGCACGGGCAGGGGGGTTAAAGATGGCCCCAGAAGAGGGTCTTATTTTTGAGCTTTTCCCAAATTCTAATAAATATTCTGCCCAGCAGGGGGTGACGTCACACTGGAAACTTCCTCCTCAGAAAGTCCACAGTCTGTCACATTAAAGACTGAAAACATGTCGTGTTTCTGATCTCTTTCTTGGTCTTTGGTTCAAAACTGGAGTCGACCTTCGTTAATATATGTTTGTTATTTTAGATTAGAAATGAATTGACATGAAAAAACAAACGAACTCCATCGTCCAGTTATGACTGGGCGTCTGTGCTGAAGGGAAATATCTGTCTATTATTCATGGGTCGAGTCTCAGGGGGGGGTGGTGGGGGGGGGACTGTCTGACAGACTGCAGGTTAAGTGGCTCTTGGAGGAACATCTAGCTGCTCTCCAAGGCCTCCTCCACTCCAGTCCTCGTCTAAATTGATTTTTTCCCTCGGCTCTGAAGACACTTTGTCTAAAAGAGATTTTTTTATTTTCACTGAAAAGAAGAATGAGTTCCGTTGGTGAACCTCTGGTCGCTGACGTGGGTGTCTTCTGTCCTCTCACCTCTAGGGCATCTGGAGCTGTATCCATGGTGTCCACATCGACATGAAGAAGAAAAACCCTGAGCTGGACTTCAGTCCTCAGGCCAACATGCTGCACCTGCTCAAGTCTGCCAAGTCCATCGCCATGTCGTCTCCCAAACGCAACACGGTCCTGTTACAGCCCAGCATCCTGGACCTGATGT